AGGGCTAGCCAGTTAGCTCAGCTGGTTAGAGCGCAACCTTGTAACCCCAAGGTCATGGGTTCTGAGCCAGCAGCAAAACAAAATAAAACGAAATAAAAAAGAATCTCTAAAATATGTCTTTGTAGAGCACAATTTAGAATAGTGTAGGTCTTATAGCTTTTCAGAAGGTTTTTGATTAACAAACTCAATTCAAAACCTTTCAAAGATGGTATTTGGAAGGCTGGCTGTTTAAGCTCACTCAAAGCATGGTGATCCTTGAACTGGCCAGCTGCAAAAAAAAAAAAAAGGTAAAAAGAAAAGGTGGTGGTATTTGAGGTTCTCCAAAAGGCATAGCTGTGAACAATTTCCACCTACCCTTAATAACAAAGCAAAATTTGATAAGTGATAAGAGATATATAAACAAAATATAGTGGAGTTTGGAGGAAAGAGAAGGGAGTTCTGCCTAGAGAAGGACTCATGGCAGGTGGTGTTTGAATCTAGCCTTGGAAGGTGGGAAGGGTCTCACCAAGCAGTGAAGGGTATTCCAGGTAGAGAAAACAGCATGTGAACCTCAGTATGGTGTGGGAAGGACAATGCTGGGCACACGTAAAGTGGTTCCTAAGCCGGGCTGTTAAATTAAAAGTCCTTTGGGTCTTGTGATTTAAGAGGGAAGTTCAGGAGGTGAAGGGGAGACCCAGGGGTGATAAGAAGTGGGGAAGTGCCCCTGCTGTGAGAGAAAAGGAGAGATGAGCAACCCCTTTGAAGTTTTATTTCTCAATGTGTAGCCCTCTGGCAACCTGGTTTGTTGTCACCTGGGATACTTGTAAAGTGTAGTTTCCCAGACATTACCTGGGGATCCATTTCAGGGAGAAGGGTAGAGCCCTAGATGATTTTAGGCACATGAGTGGTTGTGAAACTGACATAGGAAGAGGATGGGCAATGAGGTGAAGGTCATGTAACCTTGACCTTTCTTGCTCTCCCAAGGAGTGTGGATATTACTTTGTGGACTGTATGAAGCTGTTGATGGGGTTTAAGGGGGTGAAGGGGGGGGCTGTCACAATGAGGTGATTTTTTTCAGGGGACGATCTATGGAAGCAGTGTGAAGAATAGATTTATATAGAGTGGGATGAAGCCAAATCTAGTAACCTAAAACCTCTTCTTCCCAAGTTGGTCTCTCCAAGTGGCCCTCTGGCATGACAATGAGAACAGGTTTGGGGTAGGCTCCAGGGATTTACACCAACAGATACTCGGGTTTGACCTGATCACTTGTTTCCCCATATCTTTTTAGAACTTTCATTCCAAAGTTTCATTTCACATAAATTTTTGTTTTGTTATTCATTTCTAGGCTTATTTTACATTGTTCAGTTGTAGCTTCTGTTAAACTACCTCTTGATCTATTCCAGCATTGTTTCAGATTGTTCAGGTGTTTGAGCTTTTCCATTTCTTTAGTCTTACTAATTATTTTCATTACTTTCCCTTTGCTTTTTCTTTCTTTCTTTCTTTTTTTTTTTTTACAGATTTGTTTCTAAAATTGTTAGAGCAGGACATGTAAATGGAGAAATAGAAGTATGAAACACTTGTTAAGGTTCTGACCTAATTATTTGCAAATAATATAA